TCTTGTTTGTTTTTTTAAATTAAAGCCATGGCTTTTTTTCTTTAAGTTTTAATTTTCATCTCAATTTTTCCTAGAATGGATGCTCTTAGATGAATGATCCATTTGTTTTCCACAGCAATGCTATGTTACATTCTGATGAAATACTCTGAGAGGTAAGGTGCTATGGCAGCCCTGCTCATCTATTCTGTGCACACTCTTTTGTGGTTTGCACTGTGGCATTTATAATCCATTTCTTTTTCTGAATGCATTATCTTGGCCCTTGATGTTTCAAGCAGAGCCTGCAGCTCCATGTAATGCTTTTTGTAGGCTCCAGCTTGTACTACATATGCTTGTCTGCCTTAGGTACTTTCTCTCTTTTATGAGTGCAGATTTTCTTTCCTTGTGTATTTTACCCTTTTCTTGTAGTGTTTTAGATTGTCTGCCTTCTCCACAGTGCTAGGCCACCACTTACCCTGTTTTTCTCCTGGTTTGCAAATTTTGATTGCTTTGTCAAAGGCTAATTTTTGTGTCATCGAATCATCTCTTTTTGAGTGTTTGGTAGAATGACTCTCTTCATAGAATCACAGAATCCTATAATGGTTTGGGTTGGAAGGGGACCTTGAAGATCATCTAGTTCCAATGCCCCTGCCATAGGGGAAGTTTAACTAGATGACGTTGCTCACAGCCCCATCCAACCTGGCCTTGAACATCTCCAGGGATGGGGCATCCACTGCTTCCCTGGGCAGCATATTCCAGTGCCTCACCACCTTCACAGTAAGATCTAATAAATCTTCCTAATATCTAATCTAAACCTACTCTCTTTCAATTTGAACCCATTCCCCCATGTCCTGTCACTACATGCTCTTGTAAATAGTCTTGCCCCATTTTTCCTGTAAGTTCCATTCACAAAAAGCTTCTTATGGGTATTGCCCAATTGGATCTTCAGCCTCAGACCCATCACTAATTGATCCATGTTTTCACTTTCTTTTAAGCTGTTTATACTTCTTATTTTGCAGGACTTCTCAAACTCTGTCATAAAATTTGTAGCTAAGCTACTATGTCTGAGGAAAAGTAAACCTGATAAAAGTAGTAAGTCACTCAGAACTAGCCATAGTCAGAAACAGAACTCTCCTCTAACTCCCCTCTTTATTTTTCAGTGGCACCACTCTGTTGCAGTTACAAACTGAAATAGTGGTTAAATATTCCTCAGTAGCACCATTTTTTTGAGAGCTTTAGCCCCTTAACTGTTCCATTTAGTGGATGAGGGAAAGGCTGTGAATGTTGTCTACCAAGACTTCAGTGAAGCCTTTGACACTGTCTCCCACAGCATTGTCTTGGAGAAGCTGGCAGCCCATAGCTTGGACAGGTGCACTCTTCACTGTTTAAAAAACTGGCTGGATGGCCAGACACAGAGAGTTGTGGTACATAAATGACAAGAAAGACCTTGAGGTGCTGGAGCATGTCCAGAGTAGGGCAATGGAGCTGGTGAGGAGGCTTGCACATAAATCCTATGAGGAGTGACTGAGGGAGCTGAGGTTGTTTAGTCAGGAGAAAAGAAATCTCAGGGGAGACCTTATTGCTCTCTAAAACTACCTGAAAGGAGGTTGTGGCAATGTAGGGGTCGGTCTCTTCCCTCAGGTAACTAGCAAAAGGACAAGGGAAAAGGGCTTCAAGCAGTGCAGAGGAGGCTCGTGTTGGATATTAGGAAAAGTTTCTTCATTGAAAGAGTAGTTAAGCATTGCAACAGGCTACCCGAGGAAATGGTGGAGTCACCATCCCTGGAGGTATTAAAAACGTGAGTAGACATGGCACTTCTAATAATATGTATTAGTGGGCATGATGGTACTCAGTTGAAGGTTAGACTTAATGATCTTAGAGGTCTCTTCCGACTTTGATGATTCTATGATTCTTTGCCTCAGGGACAGTTTGGACAATTCTACTCCAGATACCATGTTCTTAGCAAACCAGCTGGAGCTGGCGAGGACACTGAACCTGTATGGTTCAGTGTCTGTGCTCCTATGGAGGAGCACTGCTGGTGTGTGAGTGAACGTCAGATGACACTTGCAAAGCCTGTCTAGCCGAGATAAAAACAAATGTGCCCGAACCCCTAATTAGTCTGTGTAGTTGCTTTCATATGTTAACTGGCTTCTAGGAGCTTGTTTTCAAGTGAGGTAATCTGGAGAAGCTGGATCTAAATCTGTGCTGAAGAAAGAAAGCCTCTAGAAGCCATGAGCTCCCATTTTGAGTAGGTTTTCACAAATATTTGTTCAGAAGTGGGAATATTGGAATTCTTTGCTCATCTTTCCGTGTTTCCGAAATGCAGAGCTCATCACGCTGGGTCCTCTGGGATTCCCTGTATCTAATAATATCTCATTTGCTTGTAATCTCTACTGTGTCTGATGTGAGGAGTGAGGTGGTTCAGCACAAAGGGAATATTACCCTCTTCACAGCTGCTCAATCTTTCTCTCCCTCTCACTCTTATATGAAATAAGTAATGCACATACACTTTTCTGACTGTCATAAAATATCCTATGGAGCTCAGCTAAAGCAATGAGACGTATAATAATTCCTCATGTGTTTATTACAGCAGCAGCCAGCCTAGTGATGGTAGCTGTAGCAATATCCAGTGGAGACAGCTGAGGTGGTCTATGTTGAATTGCTCAGGGACTGGAGGGAGTGCAAACAACTGTGCACTATCCTTACAAGAAGAATACGAGATTGTTCTTTTTCAGTTAAAGGACAGCAGCTTTCTTATTCTTCTGCTGAGTAGCAGAATTGTTGAAAGCATGCATAAACAACATGTTTCTTCACTTGGCTCTGGTTGATACTTGTGTGGCATTATAATCCAGAATTTCTGTGTTAATCATTATCCTGGTGTGTAACAGAAAGGCAGTAGCCTGCTGGGTGAGTTTAGAGCTTAAGTACAGCAGACCCCTTGAGCCTATGTAGGGTTCTTAGCAAGAGAAACCAGGGGATGTTGTCTCATCCAGCCTGTCAAAAGCATCTGATAGATGGTTTTTTACTTTTTTTTTTTAAACTGAGATTCCTTCTCCAAAGGGTTAAAAACCTGCATCTTCTTTAGAAGATCTGGGGATCTTCTGGTGTACATCTCAATTGTGAGAGCATTGCACAAGCAAATGATGGTTTTACCTGAACGTGTGTTCACAACAGAGCACACTTAACCAGTTGTTGTCATTACTCTCATTACTCTCACTCATTCTGCTGTACTCACACTAACCTGTTGTTTTGTGGTGCTCTACAGAGCCTTTGGGTTTAGGCTAAAATGAGAGTAAGTTATGCTCAGGGTGGGCTCCCAATGACTTCCAATGAGATCAAAGTGATAGCCAAGTGCTTGCCGTTTGCAAGCGCTTCAGCAGAGTCGATAAATATATCCCAGACTCAGTAAGAGCTGCTTATTAGCCCAGGCTGGAATTGTTCTTGAGTGAACATTAGGAAGATCAATCAGCTAATAATTGTTTTTTGATGTGACATCTGGAAAAAAATAACAACTTTTTTTTCTTTTTCTTCCCTATCCCCACCAACTACAAGGAAAGCTGGGAAGTAAAAAGAGTGTTACTCTCTGTGGGAAGTGAGTTCTGCAGGCAATGGCAATATTTCAGTACAGGCCAACTCAATTATTGATTGCAACTATGTAGCCAAAGTCAGGTTTTGAATATCTCTCATTGCCTGAGACCATTCTGGTTACCTAGGTTTAAAAAAAAAAAAAAGGTGACTTAGAACAAGATACAAGAAGGGGCTTAGAGTGATTGTGAGAAGGGAAATCTGTCTTCTCAGGGGTGATAAAGAGAAGGGCAAAATTAACATTGCAAACCCCTTGGGGAAGGAAGAAATGGAAATGAGAGAAAAAGTATTTTAAGTAGCAGAACAATGTTAGTAGGAGAGCAAATGAATACACTCACCAATGAATTGAGTGGAAATGACAACAAGGTTTCTCACCACAAGGGAAATGAAATTTTGAGATGAGACTTCAGAAAGGGTATGTCCACACCACTTCTGGACAGATTTTGGTAAGTTCTTGGGAGGAAACACATAGAAGAATTGAATCTAGCATTAAAGTCAGCATTTCTGATATTCTGTGTTCAATGCAATTCCACCTACAATGGAACACCATGTGTCTGCCTCATTGCATTTATATATAGTTAATTGATCCCATGCCTGAAAGCTTCTGCTAATCTCCTGCAGAGACCAAGAAGAATTTGCCTTCTGCATAACTTGGCTTTTGGTTATTCTTCTCCCCCTGCACCTGCTTCTGAAACAGCTAAGGTTTGACCACAGCTCAAATGGAAAAGGGAAGGCTGTTTTTGGCAGGGCAAGATGCAGTTCCAGGTTTTGCTGAGGAAATGCTGAAATGCTTGACTGGATTGCCTTGTTCCTGTTCTCAAAGTTCTGAACATCACAGACAAAAAGGGAATTTTTTTGCTGCCAGGTCAGAATCAGTAGGGTTGTTTCAGCATGGGACAGGGATTGCCATGGTTAATTTGCCAGTTTTCCAATTTCTTGTACTTTCTTCAGGTCTTCTGTTACTCCAGAAAGCTCAAATGCTGGTTGCACATTGATGTCTCCTGTCCTTTCCCCAGGCACTTTCTAGGACCTGTGGGTTTTTATCTTCTGCTGTAGTCTGTTTCCTATGCCCTGTGCTGTCCAGAGGCACCTTGTCTGCCCGAGCTCCATTGCCTGCTGATTTCAGAAGACAACTCCCGACAACTCAACCAGTCCTATGCTCTACCTCGTTACATTTTAGTCTAGTGATTCAGAAATGTAGATTCTTCAGACCTTGTTCTCCTTACATGCATCTAAGAGCATACATATAGAGCTGATATAGAGGTCACTGAAGTCACAAATTGAATTTTCTAATGACCCTAAGGAAGAAAATTAAAATTATGTCAATTATCACAGGATAAGTATTATTTTGTATAGTTTAAGTATTGTTCACTCAAGACTCTTGACAAAGTGAGAAAAAGCTGAATAAAGTTTTTCTTTCTTTTTGTATTTCTTTTTAGGCTCCATCTATGAGATGTTTGGAAATGAATGCTGCCTGTCAACAGGAGAAGTCATTAAAGTTATTGGCTTCAAAATTAATAAGCTCATAGCAAGTATCTGTGAGAATAATGAAGTCAACCGGTTTTCAGCCAAAGTGGAATTACCACTAAATTTCCCCGGTATAGTATTTCATGCAAACGTTTTTGAGGAATTATAGTCCTGAGTAATCACCTTTGTTCATTTTATTGATTTGCTGTCTTGATTGATATTTGAGGTTGCAACTGCTGAGTTGGATATTGTCAAGGACACAGTTTTATCAGAAGATACAAGACACAATCAACTAATTATTAAATTTCAACTCTTACAGTTCATTTTCAAACCTGAATAGAAATGATTAATATTATAATATTTGGTAGTAATGCTTTCTATACTTGGAGTCACTCAGTCTAAGAATTACAACAAAAATTATTTTTCGTTTACTTCCAACTTTGCCGAACTTTGTCTGAGCTGAAATTTTCCTTGCTGTGTGCTCAAACTATAATTTATTTACCATTACTACATGTGTATTTTATTATTTTTGGATGTAAAATATTTTCAATACTTTGTTACATTCTGCTTTTATTTTAATGATTTATTTTAATTCCAATGGTCAAAGTGGCTGTTCCATGCCTGGAAACAGGATTAGAGGGAAATGATGTGTTTTTCTGCTTAAAAAATACTTTAACTATTCTATAGATATATCCAAATATAGTCATATTTTGGAAGATAGACTTGAAATTTGGCATGTGATACTGACTTGTTATTTGAAATGTATTTTCCTCTGTCCATGATGACTTGTTAGGGAGAGCTGCCAAGTACTGAACCCAGGGTACCTAGTTCATCACATGTTATATTTATTAATTTTTGAATTTTGCTCTCATCTCAATTCCTCTACTGTTAGGGCCCAGCAGTGTTAAATAGGGAAGAGAATGGAGTGCAGAGGGAGAAGTGATGGACTGTGAGTATCCCATGTGTGGGAAACAGAGGAGACAAACTAGGTTGGGAAAATGATAGAAAAAGATTGGACCCCTCAGAGCAGAGCAGAAGGATCAAGACTTGCCATGCAAAGATCAGGGACTGGAGACAGAGGTGCAGGTGATTTCAACAGCAGAGGAATGTCTCACCCACACACAAATATATAAGTAGGGAATTTCCTATGCTGGGAGTCTTGCAGGCAGCAGAGGTAATGGGAGCTGCTCGAAGAGAAGAGATGAGCGGACTATAAAACAGCCTAAGGCCAGTGGGATATGGGAGGGAGTCTGTTTAGGTCTGGGAGAGAAGTTATGGGTCACCTGCAGGTAGGAAACACTGGGACAGAGCACACACAGGACACAGCAGACTTCAAGAGTCTGAAATCACATCCAGGACTCACTTTCACCTTCAGTCTAGCTAATGAACTGAATGAGACTACAGTTTTGTAGAAAAAAAATATGTAAACATTTAATTAGCACTGTATTGTACTGCAAGCACATGGGAGGATAAATTGATGCTGCGTGGGGAACATGATATGAGTGTTTTCTAGTGTTTGAGTGCTTGACTTAATAACTTCATTGATACTCTAATGTCTTGCTGAGCATGTGAGTGTGTGCATGCAAGCATATATAGGGTTTAGGTTATGACAGTGTCCAAACTGGTATGTGCTTTTTCTGCAGAGGGAGACAAGACATGCTTCTTGAAGCAAATAAAAATGTAAAAGTGCATGGGAATGCAATGTTTTATCTGATTTCCATATAAAAATATCTTCTGCCATGCCTTTATTTCAGATTTCTCTCTGAAATAGTTGTATATATATCATATTTGCCCCTCAAGCAGATGTTCAATTTACTTTCACGTATTTCTTTCTCAGTGAATCAGAACCATTTGTATGACCACTTATCAAAAGACTTTTTCTGGAATGCCATTTTCGAGCACTAGTAGGGCCCAAATGTAAGATCAAAGACATTTTAATTGTCTGTGGCTATCTGGAGATACTGAAATATGACTCCCTTGTGAACTCTCAAGATACTTGGTGTTTTTCTTGAAATCCAAGCTTCCTTACTATTATTAAAATTTTCCTATCTCTAAAATATATATACCTATAGGAAGTCATATTCTAAATCCTGATTGGCAGATGGGATCCAATCCTAAAATATCCAACACAACAGAGGGATAAAAGTAATCCTGCATTTGTTGATGCTGAAACTCCTGATCTTTAGAATGGAATGACTTGTAATTTCATGTGCTTGAATCTAGTGAATCAGGATTTGTTTGCATTCAAGTGATCATTTTTACAACTTGGCATTTGGATGTTGTTGCCCTATTGAGCACATTTTCAAATTTGATCTAATCATTACAATTTGCATGCATAGTTACAAACTCTCGCAACCAGTGTTCTAGAAAATTGTGTTATTTCACTTGAAATATAAATTCAGAGTTCGTTTTGCTGAAATTTATCATCATTATACTCCACGTGACAGGTATTGCTGAATAGCAGCACTGAAGAGGTGTATAATGACACTTCTTATTAGCCCAACAGGGAGCACCTCTTTCCTGTTTCTCTCTGTATATGTACTCTTATGCATTCAAGAGCTACTTGGTAAGATGTAAATTTGTCATTTCTCTAATTTAGTTCTTAGCTGAAGAATTGTTCTGCTCTGCAGAGTCAAGATTTCCCCATCTCTGCTTCTTCTTGACCTTCCTTTTCACTTTATTAGGTGCACAAGCTAAGTTCTAACTGAAACATTGCACATGAAACATGGCTTTCCCCTATCTCCTGAACAAAGCACAGAACTGAATTGCAGATGATCTTTTTCACACTGACATTGACTTAATTCAATAAAAATATCCACAGGTCTTTAGGAGGCTGACACTGTATTTACCTTGTATGTGCAGTGCTCTCTTGCCAGTGTTGATGCAGAGAAATCTTTTGCTTTGATACTATTTTCCAATTCCTCTATCATGAGTTTTCATTTGTATGCAATGGGCTCATGTATCCTTTAACCATGTGCATGCTGGCATAAATAAACAATGCTCCTATTTAGGTTACTCTGAGGATAGCATCTCTGTGAGTGAAGAACTGGGCTCACTGGCTTTAAATGAGCCTTAATCTTTGTCTTTCTGAATGTATTTATAGCCTACAGAATTCCTTTTTTTCTGCTCTGGCAAATCAGATCCTTGATAAAGGCCTAATCTGCCCTTTTGCATTAGAGAAACCACTGCAACTGCAAGTTCACTAACTGTGTTATATTGTTTTATCCTCATTCTAATTTTTTCTTTTTCATGCCTCAGAGGGCCAGGCTATTCTTTCTGTGCTTATACACCAGGTAAAAAAAAAAGAAGTCTGCTGTTACTCTAGGCACTTCAACAGCTACATCTAATCACATTTCGAACTACAATTTTCACTGCTAGCAAATTAGCAGACAGGTAATTTGCAGAACATCTGAACTGTGTGCCAGCACAAACAATTACATTTCATTCTGTTGTATTCCTTCTTCTGCAAAAATATTTCTGGACTGACCTTGTTCTTATGAGGTCCCTTGCTGTTGCTGCTGCTCGTTCCTTTGTGGTTTGACACATAACTGAGCACGACTGTCCCCTTTGAGTGCTCAGCCTCTGCAAGTGACAAGACAGAAGACTTGTCCGTGACTGTGCAGCACATCTGTGGAAGAACAGGGATTAGGAACTAGGAGGCTCATCTGAACAAGAGATGATGTAGAGCTGGCCTTTGGAATAGGATGGGGAGAGGAGAATGCTGGAGCAGAGGAGGTAGAGAGTGTGTGGTGGAGGTGAAGGAAAAGAGGGATAGCAATTAAGTCAGCTCCAGAGAAGTTAGGAACTGTGCTCTACCCAGTCTTTTGCATTACCTTGGGGAACAAAAACTGGCAGTCTGGGACAGATGATCTTTCTGCTCTTCTTGAAGATTACCTGCTACTCTACTAGGAAAGCCTAACTATTGGTTTTCTCAGTTTTCTGTGAGGAAAAGAGAGTAAAAAGGATACTCCTTTCCTTCGGGACTCTAATTAAGACCGAAAATGGGAAGTCTAGAAGGCTACAGTGTGGTAAAAGCATCCTTCTGTCAAAACATGCTTTCCCATAGCACATTTAATCTTGTGATCCTCAGGCTATGTTTTATTTCCCATACTGATGAACAGAATTTTCTCAAATTCTCAAACTCGCTATCAATCTGTACATCAATTAGTAAAACTTCTCTTGAAAATGATGGGCTGATTAGGTTTGGGTCTTATTAATTATAATGTTGTGGCTAGGCTGACATTTCACCTAGTGAAACTTCACTAGGTACAGAGGCTTCATGGAAAAGAACAGTTATATATTCCTGTAGTTATTTTATGTGTGTAACCAAAACCATTGGGCATCAGTGCACTTTGATTGTAGATCAGATTATATTTAGAAAGTAGATTTGTAGGAGCAGTAATGCCAGATCTTGATAAACCAGATGGACTTTTTTTCAGGTTTGCTATTTCCATCTGTTTTACCCCCTAATAGTCCACCAAGATCTGTTAGGAAAGTCTAAGTGAATTTGATTTATTCATTTTATGATTTATGAAAAAGTACAAAAATATTTTTGTTTGACCTCAAAATGTCCAAACTTTACTGTCTCAAACTTACCATATGTCTCCTCCTCCTGGAGATTTCCTTGTTATCTTAGGTTTGGAAAACATTTGGTTTTGCAATTTGATTCATAATGATTTTAATAAGATTGTGAATGGTTCCAGATAATACTGTTTGGGTTTTTTGTGGTTTTGTTTTGGTTTTTTTACATATATATAGTAGCAAAGAGAGCGTTTATAAGAGGATACCATGGCAGATTATGGCAGTTAGATAGGAACCACAGTCACTTTCACCCAACATACCAAAATAGTTTCCTTGCTAATAATTGTGTTAAAAATGGCTATGAGAAATATTACAACTACCAGTGGGAAAGAAAAGTGTGTTGCAGTTGTACTTTGTACTTCTGCAGCTACATTCATGGATGTGGCTTCCTTGCAGCCCAGGAAAAAGCCTGGAGGTTTTCCTGCAGTGCTGTGGTAAGGACATATATGTAGAGGATGTATGTACACAGGGGTACTAATTTCACACAGGAAAAACTGGCTTTCATGCAGACAACTGTGAAGGCACAGAACTGCAGAAAGCAGTGACATAGGCACAACTAGTGACTATTTCTGCAGAAGATCAAATAGGCTATTACTCTTCAGGCTGCTAACAGGCCCTCAGAGCTGCTAGTTCCCACAGTTACTAGTGGCCTCATGGGACACCCAGAACCAAACATGCCCAACTGGGTGATGAATTCAGTTAAAAGCAACTCAACAGACAGAATCTTAATAACATCTCCTTTAACAAGAACAGTGCTGTTATGAAGTGTTATGAAGTGAAAGTAGTGGGTTTTGTTCCAGTAAAGCCAGAATCTTTATTTTATAGCCAAAAATAAAACCAAACCAAACCAAACCAAACAAAACAAAAAAAAAAAAAAGGAAAAAAAAAGTCTGTTGTGGTGGAGGTAATAGTTTGATATCCTTTTTAAGGAATACAATCTTAGGGAGACCCTGCTTCCATGCAGGCCCCTCAGTTGTGTTGATTGTGGTCAGTAGTTAAGATCAGTAAGGGAAAAGGTGTGGGAGGAAATAAGCAAATTGCTTATTTTCAAGTGAAGCAATCCCCTAATCTAATTTTTTAAACAATCCCACAATCAGGGAAGGTGTAAAGAAGGGAGTGAGTTTTTTCCCAAGATCTTGCAGCAACTGTGTGTTTTGGCAGCATCCCACCTTGCTGAGATTTCAGTATTTGCTGGGACATCTTGCACTTTTCTCACATTCTGATTCCCACAAGAAGGGAGTCATGGCTAGTGTGGACCCAGTTCCCACACCACGTGGCTGCAGGCACTTGGATTTAAAACCTTGTAGACATGGCTTAAACCAGCTACTCAGGAGATTTGGAGCTGCCGTGAAAGAGTCTCTGGTGGTACCAATCAACACTCCTTGATTCCTCATCCCATACTTCCTCCTTAACAGCCAAAGTGAAGTGCCCTCTGTGTAGTCCAGAGGAGCAGAAGTGTGGAGCAGTGGGTTAATAGGATTTTTGCTAGTTGGCTTTGGGAGATAAAGGGACAAAAGGCACGGTATCTCCCAGGGAGCTTGGCTTCTTTGTCACTGTACCTGTAGCTATTGGTTAAGTTGTGGTTAGCAAACTTGGCCTAACAATAACCTCTAAGCTCAGTCATATTCACTCAGAAGCAAGTTTTTGTCTCAGGGAGCTGCACTATAATTTCATGAGGCAGCATTCACAATGCTGCCACACCTTGTGAAGAAGGCAGCTGAATCACACAGTTCAGCTAAGCCCTGCATTTTAGTCTTCTAAACCCTTCAGTTCATCTTCCTTCATGAAAACACTCACACAAATATAGAAATGTACACATTTTTCTTGCAATGCAAACTCCTAATGAGACAGCTCCAAGGGGCGTGATTAACATGAAATAATAATGTCCTTAGGGGATAGGGAAGCTCAGATACAGCTTCTGCTTTGCAGAACTTCAACATTTTAATTGCCTTGTGATGGTTGGAGTGCTGCAACATTCAGCCTTTGAATTAATCCAGCTGGTGCACTGAGCTATCAGATATGCTAAAATCTGTTTGCTTTTTCTTATCTGTGGGTGCTACTTTTTCATTTGTGTTGTATCTTTAAGCATACTTTGTCTAGGAATCCCCAGTCTGTGTGTGGAAGGTTATGTAGTACTGATGTTTAGGCAGAAACTTATCCTGCATTCACTGATCACTTTAATGTTGCTCTTCCTTGTACCTTATCTGCATTTAGCTCTTAAAGGTTGGCTTTCTGAGAAGACAGATAAAAATTTAAGATAATTTTTCTTTATTCTGTGGCAAAGAAAAAATTAACTGTGGACATAAAAATGTTGGATGTCAGAAATTAGATGCAGAGTAGAAAGGGTTATGCCAGCTGCCTATACCTTGTACCATGCAGTCAATATTATCTTTGTAGAGTCAGATTTCTAGCAACTGAACTATGAATTGTTTGATGTGCTGTGCTCCTCATTTTTATTACGCTCAGAGTCTAAAATTTGGCGTGACTTGCTTTGTATATTTCCCTTTTTATAATGCAAGTTTTCTGCTCTTAGGTCTTTATAAGGTTGTGGCAGATAAAACTCCATATGTCAGCATTGAAGAAATCACGAGAAAAGTCTCTATTGGGCCAACAAGATTTGGCCATCCATGTTTCTACAGCCCTGAGGATATAAAACTGGCAAACTTCACAATCAAACATGGTGAGCAGATCACCTTCAACTCAGTGGAAGAGGTCAATGGAACAATGGCTGTGAATTGTGTCTTGGTCAGAAATAACCAGATTCATTCCTTTACTTTGCCTCTTTCGCAAGAAGGAAAATTCTACGAGTGTGAAGATGATCAGATATACACCCTAAAAGAAATTGCAGAATGGAAAATCCCTAAGTGCAGAAACCGGATTGTCAAACTTTCCAATACTTTACATATGTGGGATTCCTCTAATCCACTTCCTCAGAATTTTGATGGCTGTTTGATTCTCATGCCTGTCTATGAAGTGCAGGCAGTAATGAAATGTAAGTAGGAATCAAAATCATGTTCTGTTAAACTTGGTGTAGCCCAGTACCCTTAAATACACAACATTTGCTTAAAATAGCCAGGAAAGATTCAGTTTATCAAAAATTCCTGATCCATATTTTACACTGATGATAGTTTCAAGATGAAGAAAGATAAAAATAATATTGCCTTTATTATTCCTTTATCATCTGTTAACTCAGATTATTACCTTGAATTTTTTCTGTTACTATTTTACTGATCGCTACAATTAAATCCTCACTGCAAATAAAATATATCACATGGTGAAAAGGCGGAACTTAGGAATTCTGTTCTCTGATTCTCTTTCTTTGCATCTCAGACTTTGACCATGGAGAAGCCAAATAAACATTTATGGCTATGGCTAAGGAGGTAGAAAAAGAATATAGACATATATGTTGCAATACACTTAATTACCATTTATTTTTCAGAATGAGGATGCCACAGAAAGAAAAATCATATTATTTTACTTTATTGCGGAAACAAATATCAATAGACTATAAACAGAAGAAACTCATGGACAATTTCTGAAACCTCTCGGTTTGAGGAAACAGAAAGATTACAAACCCAATATATTTGAAGGCTGTAGTTTGTGTTATGAGTTTTTATTTAAAAACCCCAAAAATATCCATGGCACATTAACACTGTTCTAGTTGTTCCACCAAAACATTGAAACAGCTGGTTTCTAATTGCAGGATAGTAGCTTAGCTTTTGGAACGGTTTTGCTGCCTGTTGTATTTATTAGAAACAAACCAGTGAGCTCCGTAGAAATTAAATCCTAACAGAAATTAATTCGTGAGGATATTAATTAGGAAATCTTTTCATAATTGAGCTTTCTCTGTTGAATGATGTAAGCAAATGAATAAAAGAAAAAGAAATAAAAGTGGGCAGAGACTGTTAACACAATATACTATAGTTGTTATATGCTTATCATACAATATGTGCTTGCGATGTGATTTAATGTGTGAGTTTGGAAAACATACTTCACAAGATAAAGTACTCCATTTGCTATAATGGCCCATCATCGCGAACGAAGATTTGGGGAAAGGTCTTTTTACCTTTCCAGCCTGCGCAATGGATTTTTTAGGTGAGACACAGCCTGCGCTGAGCTGAGCCCACCCTTTAATCCTAAGGTTCATCTGCCGGGGCCAAGCAAGCTTGGACAATGGCAGTGAGGTCCTCAGGACGTAGGTTTGTTTAGAGTGTCCTTCTCATAGATGGATGGCCACACAGGGCTAACGACCTCCATCAGGCCAGGAGACCGGGGACTCGAACCCGTGGTCGCAGCAGTGAAAGTCCTGCACGCTAACCACTAGGCCACCATTTGCTATAACTCCAGCTAAATTCAGGAATCTAGCTCATCTCCTGAAGCTGGATTCACTTAGGTATGTTTCTATACCCATTTAAATATTTATGCAGAATCACTAGGAATTTAATGTCCCTAAAAACTTTCAGAAGATGCAGAATGTTTGCTATTCACTTGTCTTCCAATAAGTTATTTCAGTGAGAGTTGTATTTGTTGTTTTTATTTTATATTTCGTAATGTTCTCAACCTTTAAAAAGCATGAAATGTGTCCTAAATAACTGTTTGATACAAACTTGGAAAGTAGGCTTCATGGTACATGATTAACTACTTTCTTGTGGACCATGAAAAATGGATTTTCACCATTTTTAGAAGAACTATAAATAGACACAAGATAAAGTATGAGAAATACTATCCACTATTCAATAAAAAGGATTCCTGATAAGAGGGATAACTGATTACATTTTCACAGGCTGTGAGCAGGAATCCTCTATACTTACTTCTCATTCTTAATAATGAACAAGCTATGTGTGGGGAACTCCCCCAAATGCTCCTAGAAAACTTTCATTTTCACTAGCCATTTCTCCTTTGTTATCTTTCCCTTGAAGTGCTTAGTATGTTTGTCATCTGAAGGTGTCAATGTGACAAAAGCAGAGTTGGAACAAACAGCTTCTGAATCACTGTCACAGAACTCTGTCATATAAAATACACTTGATACCGACTTTGCAGTATAAAATATCGGTATGTCCTGCTACAAGGAAATGTGAACCCAGGGTACTATCCCTGTGTGTAGGTCTATGCAGAATAAGTATGATTGAAGAAAGTAATTAAATACTATTTGCTTGTTAAGTTTTACTGCCCTGGTCAGGGATCTGTGGTGTCACTGATTTGGAGCCAAATTCTTAAACAAGCCTTAATTTCATAGTCAACTTTATGCTTGGAATTTTTGCATTAAAAATTTTGCAAGTTCAGTTGTGATAGAAGTGCTGTTGTTCCCTGAGAGATGGTTCAATTCAATGGCTCAGTTCTGGTAGTGAATAAAACCGGGTGATGCAGACAAGGATTTCCACAGGGGAGCATTATAGTAAAATGTCCTAATTCGTAAACAATAACCTTAGACTTTGTTACAGAAAGGTTTTGCCTTTTTTTTTTTATATATTATTTCCTAGTAATTACAGATGTTTTTATTATTCTTATAAATATCAAAACACCTTATTTCTCCCAGACTGGCCATAGCAACAACATGTGCTAAAGGATTCAAATGTATTTATTTATTAAGCATGTTTTCCCAATCACTTCTTTATAGAAACCATAAGTTACTATGAAATGAAAGAATAGAAATAGTACCCAAGAAAGATATCTTTGATAAGATAAACAACTGATTAAATTTGGAGGTGCTGTGGGTAAAATAATGAACTAGATATTTTTCCCGTTCTTCTTCCTTAAGCTTTTCTTTCACTCATATACCTTATTCTCTCTCTTCCTTTGTGTGGTCTTATGCATATCTGATATCCATATATCTCAAATTACAACAGTTAGACTTTCTGGCCTTCTTCATGGTGCACATGGAGCAGCACATCTCAGGGAAGGTACTTTTAGTATCTGGCCAACAGGATGTGTATTTTATTCCAATGTCAGTTTGAAAACAAAACCCAATGTATTTATTTTCTTTTCCTTTGCAGTTCGAAAGGACATAGTTCATATCCTCTCAGATCTAGATGTTGAGGTCAAGGATATAACAGACTATTATGATATTAGCTCTTTCCTTCAGCCACTGTCTTTGGAAGATGTATTTGAGAGAACAAGCATGGAATTTCCTATGGTTGCTGAGATAATGGAAGGGCCTTCAGGAGGCCAAAACCCTTTTAATTTGTTGTCTACAGGGAAAGAGATTGTCATCTACAAAAAGTACCAGGCAGCAAGAGTCCTAGCTTCTGAGATCAGAAGTGATTCTCCCAAAAGACATTTTTTAATCCCTATGAGCTACAAAGGAAAGTTCAAGAGAAGACCTCGTGAGCTTCCAACTCCCTATGACTTAGAGATAGCAAGAAGTGAAAAGGAACAGCTTCATGTTGTAGCAACTAAAGCCTTTGCTTCCCCTCATAAAGAGTTTTTTTCTGTTTCAGTTGGAGATCAATTTCTAGTTCAGCAGTCCCAGACTAGTGAAATTCTTTACGAAGGAAGAAAGAAACTTGTAGATGTTTTAGCTTGTGAGCAAATACTAAGTGATACATATAAAAAAGTGCTCCTCCCTATGTACATGGAAGGCAGCTTTGTGGAAGTGATTCATGACAAGAAACGGTACCACCTTTCTGAGATTTGCAAAGAATTCCGTTTGCCTTTTAATGTCAAAGTGTCCGTGAGGGACCTTTCCATTGAGGAAGATGTCTTGGCTGCAGTGCCTGGTCTGCAGTTTGAAGAGGAAATCACAGACTCTTACTTGCTGATCAGTAGTGCCACCAATCCAGTGGAGAGCTGGGAGATTCCTGTATATCGCTTAAATATGTTGGTCCATTTGCTCAGCAAAGATGTCCAGGTAGTTGTACCACCTGTGACTAAGACAATAGTGGAAGAGATCAGCGAAGAGCAATACTATATGGTGCGAAGATACGAAAACCAAACCCTTCATCCACCACCTAGGCCTCCCAAAAAGCCAACAACACTTGCCCCCAAACTTGCTTTTGCAGTAACTAAGCAAGATGTGTCTGATGTACTACAGGCTCCAAAGGTAAGGTATCACAGCTTGTCTTTGAATGTCTTAAAATCACAAATCATGTTCTGTGGGTTTAAAGTCTTCATTTGTCTGTTGCATCCTTACAGCATGCACACAGATGTCTCTCAGCTCCCAGTAATAGGCAAATTAGCCATTATAGACAAGAATGGCTAAAATCTCCAGTGTGTGTTAATTGATCCATGAAAAACAACAGAACCATGCCAACTCACAGCAGAAATCTTGGCTGTATAGTTTTGCATGGATAATCCTTTACTGCACCACTGTAGAACTGAAGGGAGAGACTTGAAGTGCCTGTATTTAAATCTTTATTAAGGGGAAGAGTATGTTTTCATGATGTAAAGATAATTTTGCTCAGCTGGAAATGGCAGAATTAAGTTCAAGTTCACCTAAGGACAAGTCATATAGAAGTTTTTGAATTCATTGTTTGCACTTACCTAAGTGGCAAATAGGTTTGGGAAAGAAAAAAAAATGGCAGTCATTTTAGAAGCACTTGATGTTAAGAAAGAAGTGTCCCTTCTAGGACACTTTTCTTCATGTTTAACCTGAGGCAACGCATTGTGTTTTGGATTTGTCGCTTAATCAGGGTTGACAACATCAGTCTTTTGGCTATTGCACAGCAGTGCACCCACAGCGTCAAGGCCTTCTCTATTTCCTGGGCTTCCCCCAGAAAGTTGGCTGGGGTTGGACGAGAGGCTGGGAGGGGACACAGATGGGACAGCTGACCCCAACTGACCAAAGGGATATTCCACGACATATAACGCTATGCTCAGAAATAATAACTGAGGGAGTGATTGGTCTAGGAAGTTAGCCTAACTCAGAGACGGCCAGACATCAGTCTGCTTGTGGGAGGTGGTGAGTGACTGCCTTTGCATCATTGTTTTTGTGGGTTTTTTTCCTCTTTCCTTAATTTATTAAAGTCTTTATCTCCACCCACAAGTTTTCTTGCTTTTGCTCTTACTCTTCTCTCTCCTGATGAGATCATCATCCTGATGTCATGGTGGAGTGAGCAAGCACATGGATGAATGCTTAGCTGCTGGCTGGGGTTAACCTACCACAATTTTCTTGCTTGTATTGAAAGAATCAAAGGCCGCTTGATGGGCTTTAATGAGAGACACTGTCTAGGAGGTATTTAACTTAGGTTGCAGTTGACCTCATATGCAAATAAAAATTCCCTACAGGGGAAGAGGAAAAAACTTTCAGGTCTCTGGGTTGTGTTTGTATTATGCTTTAAATGCAGTGTAACTCATGTAATTATATTTTGTGGGGTTCATAGAAAGTGGGGTTTTTTTGTTGCTATCAAACTAAAGTCCAGTTGGAGCCCCTCTGAAAGGGCAGCATTTGTGAGTACCTCTCTTTGCCTGCTGGAGGTTTTCCTCCCCTCATGCCAATTCCAAGACTACATGCAAGTCCAAAGCTCCACATAGATCCTGGAAGATGGTTATAACACGCAGTAGGAGAAGTGAATGAATAAGGGGGTCCCTCAGATAAGGGTAATACAACAAAAAGGTGTATCATTTTCTCCCATCTTTACTACAAAAACTTCTTTTCTATTAATTTGTTCAATGAACATTGCAGCAGCTTAAATAAGCCATCCTGTTAGGCGAGGCAGGGTACATGAGAAACTGGTCTCTGAGCTAATAGGCAAGCAATCAGCCTGGTACTGTTCTGGGGTACAGAACTGAGGAAAAATTCCCTGAAGTTGTGTTTCTGGTAGACCTGTACCCTTGTCAGGAGAACTTAGACCTCCTGTAGTTAGTGATGGCTGTGTGCGGAGCAGAGCAGGTGGATGCTGCTTCCAGATCAGGTTCACGCAGAAGATGATATTTTCCTGAAGTGAGGAGAGAGCAAAATGAGCAGGAGATAGACGAGCTGAGGTTCCTTTGCACATGAGGTTCCTCCTCGTGCATTCATGAGTGAGAGCAACCTTAGACTGCAACTGTCCAGATGAAGGAGATAATTTAAACAGTATTTCAGAAGACCTTTTTTTTTGTCACATATTTGTTATAAATAAATAATAAACTGCAGTCAGAATGCTTAGATTATGCAGATTTGCAAATCTCCTTCCCTGGGAAAGTGAAACAAGTAGAGATCCCTTATTCATTAGATTAAGCATCCTGAGCTGAACATATTGGGTTTAAAGTCACACAGAATGCATTATCTTTTCTATCCCAAGCACCATGAGTCCTCTGAGAGGACGTGGATGGTAACAGCTAGGCTCTGCCTTGGCCCCTCTGCAGCGTTAGGGGAGACTACGTTTTCTTTTACATGCATCAGGAATGTCTGAAGTTGGAAATTGTGCCAACCTGATAAACAACCCTCTTTGCATATTTGTGACTATGCATAGGCTTATTTACATAAATAACAGATGAGCGTCCTAATGAGCTGAACTTAAGCCTGACAAGGTGGCAGCCTGGAATAAGCTTTAGTGCTGCATGAGTTGCCGTGCTCCTCCTGCAGGCAGCTCCCTGCCTGGTGCTTGGGGAGCTCTGGCTGCTTGCTGGAGGGTGGTAAATGGCTTCCTTGCCCACCAGTTGGGAAGCTCTACTTGGCTTGTAGCTCCAGCATTTAATGCTGCTGCTGCATGAGTCCTCAGAGGACTCAGATCTGTCTGTTTTATGCCAATACCTGAGGATAATCTGCAAGAGTGGGTCACCTTTAGCTACAGCTTGTACTCTGATTGGCTCTGAGCTCAGAGCAAGGCTATGAGGGCAGAGAGGCTCCAGCTGTCTCTTCCTGCTGTTCTCTGACCTTGGTAGGGGAACCCTAGGGCCAGGAGCAGGACTGTATGCTTCACTGTGTACTTTTGGTCATGTTAGTCACTGAATTGTATGAGATTAGCAGCCAACACGGACTGGAACCTCAGATGAGTGTAAGAACTGCCTGCACTTGTGTGCAAGGTGCAATGTTGCAGAGAAATGCATGTTTGCACAGTTCAGCAAAGTCCAGAGACAACACATGAATTCTCAAACATAATATAGCTGCATTAACCAAGCACTCTGCCGAGTTTCTTCACAGGGCTAATTAAGTTGGCTCAGGTCCTGCTGATACAACTTTCCCTTCCAGAGCCTGGGGATCTCTCCTCTCCCCTCCACACTACAGCACAGACTTTCCCTTTCTCTCTCATATGAGCATTGTTTGAGTAAGAAACATACAGATCACATATGTTTGCAATTTTCTATTACTTGCTAATTGAATAAACAAACCACAAGCAAATACGCGTAAACTAAACAAATGAAACAAAACAGCTTGTACTGAATGATTAAATTAATCTGATATCTCATATAGCAGATATCAGATTAATATTTAATATGAATAGAAAATAGCAGATATCTATCCAATAACCAATATCACCTCTACCTACAAGCAACCCCAACTGAGGACAAGGATGACAAAACAACTTGTACCCTTTGTCTTATTGTAAAATGTGGGATACAAGCAGTCATTCACCAGAAATCCACATGTTCCTTGCTGGAGTGAAGTTCACAGGGGGATCTAACTGACATATTGAATTAAATGTTATAAGTCATTCAGTTCCTGATTTGTGAGCTTATCTAGAAAGTGAGAATGATCAAATAAACCCCTAGAAGTTAATGCTACTGATTTGAGAATGGATCATCTCACTTTCTTGCCAAGTTGGTCCTGGAGAGAAGTTCCTTGGAGAGGAACCAGTCAGGGCCTCACTTTCTTGAAATGAAAATTCATTTAAAGGGAACAAGACAGATGTGTCTATTCTGTCTCCCCAGTTACAACCACCACTGTGAATATAACAAAACCAAGTTTTCACTTAGTAACTCCACTGAAAATTGTTTTTTTAAATTTCCTTTTTACCTGCTACCTGTTTCCTCCCATTCAGCAGCAAAAGTTTTCTAGCTTTCTCTTTGCCTATTAGTTGAAGCTGTAAGTATCCTACAGATTTAAGAAGGTGCTAACATATGCCCCTCAATGGTTTTGTATTAAATTGAAACAAAGAAGAGCCCACACCAGATATTGCTAAATGTAATCTTAATCAATGCGTGGACAGCCACAGTTTAGCCCTAGTACCTCTAATACCCTGGGTGCAATAAGTGCACTACTTAAGGGACAAAAAAAGGCAGTATTTCGCTCCTGATAAAGAGAGGTTAGCTCCATCCAATGTTATTTTCAATGGCATGTTTAGTCATGTATCTAACCTGAGCAGCAATAGAATCAGTAAAATACTCAGCAGCTAGATTGTTGCTAAATACCTTTATGAATGTGGTACTGGAAAAGTCAGTTTCAGACAGTAGTCTGCTCATCTCTGGCAAGAAAGCTGAGAGAATTCTAGCCAGGGAAACTGGATTTTAATAAAATAGGAGTATTAGGGCATGATAGTTAATTGTCATTTTGTGCTAGGGTCCATTATCCTTCCAAAAGTCATTACAGTGTTATGATATCAGGAACTTTCTTGCTTTCTTACTTTTTATTTCAAAATTAAAATGAAAGAAAAATTATCACTCCCATCTGGCTTTGCAATTCTATAAACTGAACGATCAAAATCTACCATTAACATATTTATCGCATCTGTCTTCACAGCAAAATGAAGACTTATCTGGAATTAAGTTGATAAGACATAAGCTGCATTTCTCAGCAAATGAGTTTTCCTGCAGTGTCTCCTTTCCTTCCTCATAACTATTTCTTTTCTGCTTCCAGAGCATTTTTGACATTTTTGGGGCCTTTATGGAGTAGATTTAACTCAAATATTTCTGCTGTGTAACAAGAAACTAACCTTCCTAAACAAATGCGTGTTAGAAAATGCACACTGAACAGCCAGAAAGAAATAGGTAAGAACAGACTTTAGGAATTAACAGTCTTTTGGCTCTGGAAATGAAGAAAAATGTGGTTCATTAGCAGATGCAGAAATGTGCATATGCAAACATAAGAAGGAGGGTTTTTCTCTGACATTGTGGCTGCTGAGGCAGCAGCTGTGCTCCTTCTTCCTCTCTTTTTCTCTGTCCCCAATTAAGAGGAGGTTTCCC